CTTTCCAAATAAAGCACAATTAGATTACTTGAAATAGAAGCACTGATTTCATCAATAAGTGCTACTCTTTGGGGCAGTCTCATCTGTGTATTTGTCATTACTTACTTTGTGTGAGTCCTGCGATGTTTCTCGGCTGAAAGTCACCCTAATTGTAGCACATTTACTGCAGTTTTAAAGTAAGTGCTAGCAAGTTGGGGCATAAGCGTGAGCTGTTAGTTTGAAGGGGAAATCAGTGTCAGGTGTTTTCAGTCTATGGCATAACAATCAGGTGTGAGTGAGTACCATGTCTGATTTGAGGAACAAGGGATCAGTCAAAGTCTGACCTTCACAACACGTTTGTTAAAGTGTATCATGCTAGGCAAAAATTTTATTTGTGAGGATCTGGGAAAAGGCTTTCGGATGAGGTGGCCGAGAGGTTAAGGCGATGGACTGCTAATCCATTGTGCTCTGCACGTGGGTTCGAGTCCCACCCTCATCGCAGACAGGTTGCTTTGCCTCCACTTTACAACAACCTCTGGCTTGGGTGCAGTCTGTCTCACACATACAAGGCCTACAGGTGACAGGCTCTGGACAGATCCATGAGACAGAACAAGTGTGGGTGGAGAAACATGAAAAGCTAGAATTGCAATGGCAAACAATGTGCATCACATCCTCCTTTATTCTCCACAGACTGGCATGTAATTTCATAAGTGTGAGTTATGTCAGCAATAGGTTAAGTTGATGGACTGCCAATCTGCTGTGCACAGTCTGGATTTGAATCAAGAAGACTTTTAATGCAGGTTTAATGCAAGTTCTCATTCGTAGTTTGACAGACAATACTGTCCAAATTAAACACCATTACATTACAGGAAATAGAAGCACTGATTTCATCAATAAGTGCTACTCTTTGGGGCAGTCTCAGCTGTGTATTTGACATTACTTACTTTGTGTGAGTCCTGCGATGTTTCTCGGCTGAAAGTCACCCTAATTGTAGCACATTTACTGCAGTTTTAAAGTAAGTGCTAACAAGCTGGGGCAACTTTCAGTGAATTTGGACACCACAAATGTGGAGTGTGAAACTATAATCACATTCATTGTTGTTGAGATTCTAACTAAAGTGTTTCTCTTTATAAATATCTATTAAAATTCTTGCACATATGCTTAGTGAAACATGTGTTGAAATCTCTTAGAGCAATACTTTTTAATACATCAGTGAGAGCATCATTTGGCTGTGTACCTACTCTCAACCTAGCGTGATAACTGCCTGTCAACGTGTGAATGACCTGGTTCATTCACAAGGAGTGATCTGCCATCATCACTTCTATTGTCACATTGGCTTCTGTGGGTTGGACTGTGAATCATCTCAATTTACGATCAGACTCCAAGCATTGCAATGAACATCACTTGACTCAGGCCCCTCAGAATGAAAAAGTGGTCAACTGGTAAACTCTCAGTGGACAACTTCTAGGAAAGCAGGCATGCACTGATTACATTTGTCATGGTAAACATGGCAGGAGAAGATGCAAAGAAGTAGACCACCTATCTGTCTTATTGTCACCGTTGATATCCTATCAATGGCTCTGACCTTCCTGAATGGTAAGTACTATTTGTTGGGGTGATGTTGGGTGATTCAATCAACTAAAGATACTATATTTTTGTTTACAATGTATTAAACGTTAAACAGTTTGGACAACATCCAATACTTTCAAAAGAAATCACAATTCGATTACTTCAAATAGGAGCAACTTGATTTGCATTACGTAAGTAGCTTCTCGTTGGGGGCAGTCTCATCTGTGTATTTGACTTTACTGTCTTCTGTGACTGCTGCAATGTATCTCTGGATGTTACCCCAATTGTATCACATATACTTCAGTTTTAATGTGATTTTCTGAAAGCCTTGATACCTTTCAGTGACAGCAATAATATGAAATTACTGTCTTCTGTGACTGCTGCAATGTATCTCTGGATGTTACCCCAATTGTATCACATATACTTCAGTTTTAATGTGATTTTCTGAAAGCCTTGATACCTTTCAGTGACAGCAATTATATGAAATGTTGAAACGGTGACATTTTTTCACTTCATACAGATTAAGTTGAACTGTTCCCAGTGAATTTGGTGAAATTTATTCTGCCAACTGTGTGTTCGTTTGTTTTTTCTTCACATGAACTATCATCAGAGCTATTGTCCTTTTCATTTTTGATGCTGGGCAGATCCTGAACATTCATTGGAATGACACCGGACTCAGAATGAAAAGCATTGCATTTGTTCAATTGGCAAATTCTCAGTAGCAGGTATGTAACAACTGTGAACAGCAATTAATGCACAGTGAGGAAGATTGTCACTAATGCTAGCCAAGTACTGGCCTGTCTGAAAGGCAAACCAAACTTCAGACGTAGTTGGCAGGAGTCGAACCTGCGCGGGGAGACCCCAATGGATTTCTAGTCCATCGCCTTAACCACTCGGCCACAACTACATAAAACAGCCTTGCTTCATCGTCGACCAATGTCTGAACGTATTCCCATGCAATTTGTTTGAGAAATGTATAGGCTTCACTTAGGGACCCTGCTCAGGTATTTCGGCAACAAAGCAGTGGAGTTGGTTCTTTCTATGCACAGTGCCATCCTGACACACATAAGCTACAGCGTCGTGGACCATGCTCGGGTATAACCAATACTTTCCAAATAAAACACCATTACATTACTTGAAATAGAAGCACTGATTTCATCAATAAGTGCTACTCTTTGGGGCAGTCTCATCTGTGTATTTGACATTACTTACTTTGTGTGAGTCCTGCAATGTTTCTCGGCTGAAAGTCACCCTAATTGTAGCACATTTACTGCAGTTTTAAAGTAAGTGCTAGCAAGTTGGGGCATAAGCGTGAGCTGTTAGTTTGAAGGGGAAATCAGTGTCAGGTGTTTTTCGGTCTATGGCATAACCAAGCCACCTTCTTACTGTTCAAGGGTGCAACGGTTAATACACATCATTTAATAGCGGACGTAAAACACAGTTACAAAACATTTAACTCAAAGGAGCTACTCCACTCACCCGCGCGGTAGCAGTCAGGAATTCCAGGAAATATCCCGTTTTACCATTAAATACATTTCTAGTATGTTAAGAGATATAATACACTTTAGTCGTTAGCTTACATTTAGTGTGAATGGTTGAGCGGCGGGCCTAACCATTCTATTGGACCGTCTTTACAAGCCTTAGCAGGAATGGAGCGTAAGACAGGGCTTAAGTGCAACTCCTTGGCCAAGCATCTTTTCAAGCCTTTTCAAGCCATTTCTAACCCCAACCCTAAGCTGTACATGATGTGAAAGAAAACGTGATTCCTCAGACCAAGCCACCTTCTTACTGCTCCACTGTCCTGTGCTGATGCTCATGTGCAGTTTCTATGAGCTTTTGATGGAAGAAACTGGCCAGCATAGCTAGTGTAGAGGCCACCATTTTCTTGGTTTTCGTCCCTGGTTGTCTAGTGGTAAGGATTGGCGCTCTCACCGCCGCGGCCGGGTTCGATTCCGGTCAGGGGAATGGTGTTTTATCCACCGCTGGCCAAATTAACATTTAAAAGAAACCATATCACACAGAAATCCGTACTTCAGGCCGTTGGAACCATACCAGGATACTAGTTTAAGTACCTACAGTCCTCCGCTCTACCAACTGAGCTATCGGGAGGGGAAGGAGCTCAATCCATGTACATCTATAAAACCATTCGGTATATCGATATATAAGGTGCGAATTTATCCCAACTGAGCAAGCCACTAAGTGGTGACGGTGGCAAGGAAAAACTCCCTAAGATGTTAAGAGGAACAAACCTTGAGAGGAACCAGAATCAGAGGGAACCTATCCTCATCTGGGTAACATCAGATAGTGTGAAAAAGATGATTATGGATTCATATGGAGTCTCTTTGGCCTTAGAAGCAGCTGTAGTCCCAGCAATCTGGAATTGGAGTAGATGAGAGCTCCATCCAGAGGTAGGCCATCCAAAATGGATCAGGTAGGTCCAGAGAGCAGAGGGATCAGGATCTCTAGTATCTCCATAAAATCGGGTGTGGCTCGACAGAAGGAGGGAGGGAGAAAAAACTAGGACTGTGCTTAGCATAAGAGAGAAAGTCTAGTCAGGGTAGGCTTGATTAAACAAATACGATTAAAGCCTAGACACTGAGACTGTGCCTGAGTCCCGAACTCTAATTGGAAGACTGTTCCATAAGTGTTGGGCTCCAGAGAGAAAGCTCATCCTCCTGTTGTAGCCTTCGCTAATCGAGGTGCGAACAAATAGCCTGCATCTTTTGATCTAAGTAGGCGTGGCGCATCATAGAAAACCAAAAGGTCGCTTAGATACTGCGGCGCGAGGCCATTTAGTCAATTATGGGTTACTAATAGTATTTTATAATATAAAGTATTTTATAGTTATCTTTGATAAGTGAGCTAGCAAACGAGATCGATTTTCTATTCGAATTTTGCTATACACAAGCAAAGCGGCAAAGTGATTTAAGGAAACACTAGACTATTTTTTCTGGAGACAATAAACCTGTTTGTGCATCTTTATATTCTCATGTTTCTGCCGCTCTTCAATACATTTACTTCAATTAAGTAACTAGACCATTTACAATTTTACATGTACACATTCGATTCAGTTCAAATCAATTTTATTTGTGTAGCGCATTTTACAGTGGACATTGTCTCAAAGCAGGATTCGTTTGACTTCCTTTACGTCAATGCAATTTCCCAGGATGGAAGATGTGTTTGGCACGAGCTTGTTTGATGAATGCCAAGGTGCTTTGTTGCTCATCTTCATAAAGATTCTCTGCATTAAGACTCAGGTTCATAGCAGGCTTCAACTTGCACAGGTAAAGCCCCAGTGCAGTTCAAGACCAGTGCCATATTCTGTTGGCCTTCACGGGTATGGGGCACGGGACAAGGCTTAAGCTACAATTTCTTGGATCATTTATGGTTTTATCGTTTATGTTTTGAGTGCTATCCAATGTGCCAACCGTCTTTCCAAGTGTAAGTAGATTTCCTCGTTAGTATAGTGGACAGTATCTCCGCCTGTCATCACGGAAGAACCGGGGTTCGGTTCCCCAGCCGGGGGTCTGTTTGCCGCTACGGTGCCCTTTCTTTTGCACATCATGTATAAAAAAAATTAAAAAATTTTAAAAACACGAAAGAACCATGAGTACAAGGCATAAGTCCACAATTCCTTGGCTCATTTATGTTTTGGTCATTTCCACGTGCCAAGCGTGCTTACATTAGCTCACCAGGAATGGAGCGTAAGACAAGGCTTAAGTGCAACTCCTTGGCCAAGCATCTTTACAAGCCTTACCAGGAATGGAGCGTAAGACAAGGCGTAAGTGCAACTCAATGGCCATGCGTCTTTTCAAGCCTTTTCAAGCCATTTCTAACCCCAACCCTAAGATGTACATGATGTGAAAGAAAACGTGATCCCTCAGACCAAGCCACCTTCTTACTGCTCCATTGTCCTGTGCTGATGCTCATGTGCCCTTTCTATGAGCATTTGATGGAAGACACTGGCCAGCATAGCTAGTGTAGAGGCCACCATTTTCTTGGTTTTTGTCCCTGGTTGTCTAGTGATAATGATTCGGCGCTCTCACCGCCGCGGCCCAGGTTCGATTTCCGTCAGGGAATTGTGTTTTATCCACTGCTGACAAAAATTAACATTTAAGAAGAAACCACATCACACAGAGAAAGCCGAATTCGAACCAGCGACCTGAGGATGACCGGTTAAAGTACCTACAGTCGTCCGCTCTACCAACTGAGCTATCGAAGGTAAAGCAAAGCTTAATCCATATATATCTATAAATCCATTCGGTATATCGACATATAAGTTGCGAATTTATCCCAACTGAGCAAGCCACTAAGTGGTGACGGTGGCAAGGAAAAACTCCCTAAGTTGTTCAGTGGAACAAACCTTGAGAGGAACCAAAATCAGAAGGGAACCTATCCTCATCTGGGTCACATCAGATAGTGTGAAAAAGCTGATTATGGATTCATATGGAGTCTCTTTGGCCTTAGAAGCAGCTGTAGTCCCAGCAATCTGGAATTGGAGTAGATGAGAGCTCCATCCAGAGGTAGGCCATCCAAAATGGATCAGGTAGGTCCAGATAACAGAGAGGATCAGAATCTCAGAAGCCTTACCAGGAATGGAGCGTAAGACAAGGCTTAAGTGCAACTCCTTGGCTAAGTGTCTTTACAAGCCTTACCAGGAATGGAGCGTAAGACAAGGCTTAAGTGCAACTCAATGGCCATGCGTCTTTTCAAGCCTTTTCAAGCCATTTCTAACCCCAACCCTAAGCTGTACATGATGTGAAAGACCTTGAGAGGAATCAGAATCAGAAGGGAACCTATCCTCATCTGGGTAACATCAGATAGTGTGAAAAAGCTGATTATGGATTCATATGGAGTCTCTTTGGCCTTAGAAGCAGCTGTAGTCCCAGCAATCTGGAATTGGAGTAGATGAGAGCTCCATCCAAGGTAGGCCATCCAAAATGGATCAGGTAGGTCCGGAGAACAGAGAGGATCAGGATCTCTAGTATCTCCATAAAATCGGGTGTGGCTCGACAGTTACAAAACATATAACTCAAAGGAGCTACTCCACTCACCAGCGGTAGCAGTCAGGAATTCCAGGAAATATCCCGTTTTACCATTAAATACATCTCTAGTATGTTAAGAGAGATAATACACTTTAGTCGTTAGCTTACATTTAGTGTGAATGGCTGAGCGGCGGGCCAAACCATTCTATTGGACCGTGGGTACAAGCCTTAGCAGGAATGGAGCGTAAGACAAGGCTTAAGTGCAACTCCTTGGCCAAGCATCTTTTCACGCCTTTTCAAGCCATTTCTAACCCCAACCCTAAGATGTACATGATGTGAAAGAAAACGTGATTCCTCAGACCAAGCCACCTTCTTACTGCTCAAGGGTGCAACGGTTAATACACATCATTTAATACTTGACGTAAACACAGATACAAAACATTTAACTCAAAGGAGCTTCTCCACTCACCAGCGGTAGCAGTCAGGAATTCCAGGAAATATCCCGTTTTACCATTAAATACATTTCTAGTATGTTAAGAGAGATAATACACTTTAGTCGTTAGCTTACATTTAGTGTGAATGGCTGAGCGGCGGGCCTAATGATTCTATTGGACAGTCTTTACAAGCCTTAGCTAGAATGGACCGTAAGACAAGGCTTAAGTGCAACTCCTTGGCCAAGCGTCTTTTCAAGCCTTTTCAAGCCATTTCTAACCCCAACCCTAAGCTGTACATGATGTGAAAGAAAACGTGATTCCTCAGACCAAGCCACCTTCTTACTGCTTAAAGGTGCAACGGTTAATACACATCATTTAATACTTGACGTAAAACACAGTTACAAAACATTTAAATCAAAGGAGCTACTCCACTCACCAGCAGTAGCAGTCAAGAATTCCACTAAATATCCCGTTTTACCATTAAATACATTTCTAGTATGTTAAGAGAGATAATACACTTTAGTCGTTAGCTTACATTTTGTGTGAATGGCTGAGCGGCGGTCCTAACCATTCTATTGGACCGTCTTTACAAGCCTTAGCCGGAATGGAGCGTAAGACAAGGCTTAAGTGCAACTTTTGGCCAAGCGTCTTTTCAAGCCTTTTCAAGGCATTTCTAACCCCAACCCTAAGCTGTACATGATGTGAAAGAAAACGTGATTCCTCAGACCAAGCCACCTTCTTACTGCTCCATTGTCCTGTGCTGATGCTCATGTGCCCTTTCTATGAGCATTTGATGGAAGACACTGGCCAGCATAGCTAGTGTAGAGGCCACCATTTTCTTGGTTTTCGTCCTTGGTTGTCTAGTGATAATGATTTGGCGCTCTCACCGCCGCGGCCCAGGTTCGATTCCCGTCAGGGAATCGTGTTTTATCCACTGCTGACAAAAATTAACATTTAAAAAGAAACCATGAAACACAGAGAAATCCGTCCTTCGAGCCGAATTCAAACCAGCGACCTGAGGATGACCAGTGTAAGTACCTACAGTCCTCCACTCTACCAACTGAGCCATCGAAGGTAAAGCAAAGCTTAATCCATGTATATCTATAAATCCATTCGGTATATCGACATATAAGTTGCGAATTTATCCCAACTGAGCAAGCCACTAGGTGGTGACGGTGGCAAGGAAAAACTCCCTAAGATGTTAAGAGGAACAAACCTTGAGAGTAATCAGAATCAGAAGGGAACCTATCCTCATCTGGGTAACATCAGATAGTGTGAAAAAGCTGATTATGGATTCATATGGAGTCTCTTTGGCCTTAGAAGCAGCTGTAGTCCCAGCAATCTGGAATTGGAGTAGATGAGAGCTCCATCCAGAGGTAGGCCATCCAAAATGGATCAGGTAGGTCCGGAGAACAGAGAGGATCAGGATCTCTAGTATCTCCGTAAAATCGGGTGTGGCTCGACAGAAGGAGAGAGGAAGAGAAAAAAATACTAGGACTGTGCTTAGCATAAGAGAAAGTATAGTCAGGGTAGGCTTGATTAAACAAATACGATTAAAGCCTAGACACTGTGACTGTGCCTGAGTCCCGAACTCTAATTGGAAGACTGTTCCATAAGTGTGGGGCTCCAGAAGAGAAAGCTCATCCTCCTGCTGTAGCCTTCGCTATTCGAGGTACGAACAAATAGCCTGCATCTTTTGATCTAAGTAGGCGTGGCGGATCATAGACAAAAGGTCGCTTAGATACTGTGGCGCGACACCATTTAGTCAATTATGGGTTACTAATGGTATTTTATAATATAAATTATTTTATAGTTATCTTTGATAAGTGAGCTAGCAAACGAGATCGATTTTCTATTCGAATTTTGCTATACACAAGCAAAGCGGCAAAGTGATTTAAGGAAACACTAGACTATTTTTTCTGGAGATAATAAACCTGTTTGTGCATCTTTATATTCTCATGTTTCTGCCGCTCTTCAATACATTTACTTCAATTAAGTAACTAGACCATTTACAAGTTTACATGTACACATTCGATTCAGTTCAAATCAATTTTATTTGTGTAGCGCATTTTACAGTGGACATTGTCTCAAAGCAGGATTCGTTTGACTTCCTTTACGTCAATGCAATTTCCCAGGATGGAAGATGTGTTTGGCACGAGCTTGTTTGATGAATGCCAAGGTGCTTTGTTGCTCATCTTCATAAAGATTCTCTGCATTAAGACTCAGGTTCATAGCAGGCTTCAACTTGCACAGGTAAAGCCCCAGTGCAGTTCAAGTCCAGTGCCATATTCTGTTGGCCTCCGCGCGGGTATGGGGCACGGGACAAGGCTTAAGTGCAATTTCTTGGATCATTTATGTTTTTATCGTTTATGTTTTGATGCTATCCAAAGTGCCAACCGTCTTTCCGCGTATGTATGATTTCCTTGTTAGTATAGTGGACAGTTTCTCCGCCTATCACACCTAAGACCTGGGTTCGATTCCCTGATGGGGAGTCTGTTTGCTAACACCGGTGCTCTGTTCTTTTGCACATCACGCGGAAGAACCATAAGACAAGGCTTAAGTGCAATTCCTTGGTTCATTTATGTTTTGGTCATTTCCCACGTGCCAAGCGTCTTTACAAGCCTTACCAGGAATGGAGCGTAAGACAAGGCTTAAGTGCAACTCCTTGGCCAAGCGTCTTTACAAGCCTTACCAGGAATGGAGCTTAAGACAAGGCTTAAGTGCAACTCCTTGGCCAAGTGTCTTTTTCAAGCCTTTTCAAGCCATTTCTAACCAAGGATCTGGGAATGGGCTTTCGATGAGATGGCCGAGGAGGTTAATGCGATGGACTGCTGATTTATTGTGCTCTGCACGCTTGGTTCGAGTCCCACCCTCATCGCAGGCAGGTTTTTTGCCTCCACTTTACAACAACCTCTGGCTTGGGTGCAGTCTGTCTCACACATACAAGGCCTACAGGTGAAAGCTGCTCTGGACAGATCCATGAGACAGAACAAGTGTGGGTGGAGAAACATGAAAAGCTAGAATTGCAATGGCAAAGAATGTGCACCACATCCTCCTTTATACTCCACAACTCGTCTGGCGTGTAATTTCATAAGTGTGAGTTATGTC